CTAGTTCAGCTAATAATTAAAGTGTAGGGATTATCTAGCAAACTAGATTATAAACAAAAATTATAAACTAGGTGTTATAAGGAACCAACCCACCAAGACTTCAGTTTAGCTTCATCCTTGGACCCCAGTCAGATTCACTGCCAAACAACTCCTCCATACACAAATAAGATGCTGAGTTTAGGTAATATTTTTTAACAGTTTTAAAGATGATTGATTCTCTTAGGTTTTTAGGTATATAATCAAACTTTCTGTAAATAATGATACCCATTCCCTCTTTATTTCTGTTTCAAGTCTTGAGAAAGTAATGACTAGATTTTCATAGAAATATTTATCTCATTGCTGATATGAATGCTGCTAGTATTCGTATTTATATTTGATGTCAGCTTTTAAAGACAAATATCAAACTAAAGAAATGTTCTGATATTACCAAAACTATGTTAAATTGTATCTATTACCTTTTTTGCTAACTATTCAAATTATCACATAACAATATACTGTGACTCACCACTTTAGATCTACTTTAGCATTTATCCTAAAAAACTCAATGAGGGAAGCAGTATGGTTTTATTCATTTATAGGGTAAAAATTGAGGCTCAATAATGTTTCCATGACCACTGAGAAAATGTTACCTAAGCCAGGTCCAAACCTAAACAGTCCAACTTGACAGCCAGTGAACTACATGTATTTTATTAACCATTATCTATATTAACTATCAAGTTGTATGCTTAAAGTGTTATTTTTCACTATTAGATTTAATTTTATAATCAATCATATTGGCAGGAATCATTTAGACTTAATTTTTTGTGTTGCTAAGTAGTTAAGAAAACAATTTCAGTGTTACTTAAGTCCTCTTACTCTATGATTGCTCTAATCAAGAACAATTCATTTGAACTAATCAGTCATAGATTTTATTCAATCCCACTCCATTAATAATATAAATAGGAAAAATTATTCCAAGATTTTAAGTTTCTTATTGTTTCTAGTATTTGTATTTTAAACAACGTAATTATTGAACAATTGCTTCAACAGGTAACATTCACATGGTTAAAAAATGTAAATGATTCACATCTACCTTTGTTTCCACCAATGTCCCATTAGGAGCCACTGTTCTTAATTTGTTTTTTCTTATGTATTCTACTAGACTTTCTTACTGTAAATACAGGAAGTACTATATTCTTATATTCTCTTTTTTATTCACAAATAGCATCCAATACATACCCATCTACACTATTTGTTTTGGAATCGTTAACAATATAGTTGTAATATTAGTATACAGAGAATTTTCTCATTGTTTTTGTTTTATAACTGCATAGCATTCTATTTAATGAATGAACCATAATTTATTTAACAATTCCTGTACTAATATTAATGTAAGATTTCTCCTAACCTTGACGATTTAAAACAACAAAATAAATAACTCTTAATAGCTATCATTTCACATGTGCACAAGTGATGAATACTGGATTAAAAAGCATATGTATTTGTAATTTTCATAGACAGTGATCAAAATTAATAAACTGCACTACACAGGGTATTATACTAAATCATGCTCCAGTTAGCAATGTGTGAGAATACTGCTTCCTCCATAACCTTACTAATAAAATAAAGATGAATATGAATTTTGAGAATCTGTCAAATAATATGTGAAAAATGGTGTCTTACTTTAGTTCTAGATTATATTTCCCTTATCACAAGTAGGATTCAGCACTTTTCAAATCTGTGTGTGCACATGTATTTTCCTCTACTGATCATTCATATATCCTTTGCCTATTTTTTTTACAGGGTTGTCTTACCAATTTCTAGGGAAAGTGTTGCAGTTATAAGACTTCTTTAATTCCTCTGTTTGTATATTAATTATGGAAATTGCCATTTATTTTATACATTCACATTTTTGCACTTTCTTGAATTGTTTAGTGATGATTTATACATTTCTATCATGATTTTTAAATATCAGCTTTTAAATGAATTTCTGTCCTCTGAATCAGTAATTGCTACTTCTCTTTATTAATTACTTCCATTTATTTGGATATACTTTTTCTAACTTTTACATTTTAATTACTTTTTTCTGTATTTCTTTTCTATTGCTTTATGGCTATGGATATTTCTCTAAGCATTTTTTAAGCTATATACTACAGGTTTTTGGAGGTTTCCTAAAAACTCTATAATTTCAGCATGTACTTTCTCTTTGATACAAAAATGGTTTAATAAATTTTAAATTTCTAGATAGAAGAACCTTTGGTTTCTGACTTTGTTCCTATTTTCTAATTGTATTGCATGTTAGAGAATCTTCTCTGTTTTGTTTCTACATTTTGGAATTTTTCTTTGATGTTTATTACACCATGTCAAATTTTCATAAATCTTCCTTGGACACTTGAAGTTATATTCTTTATTAACAAGATACAGAGGTCAAACTATATTAGTCTGATGTACCTTACTTTTTAAATTACTTTTCCCCCTCAGATTTTATGAACTGAGATCGGTGAAATAAAGTTTGTTTTAATGTTTTAAACTATTACTGATTGCCTATTTCTCCTATACTTTATGTTTCATGGTTTCACATTTTGATATTAGAAAGTATCCGTCTATATATTATTTATTGGTTTTTGTTTTCAATTTTAATTTGTCCAATATTAAGTCATGGTTCCCGCTTTTTTTCATTTTTATTAATGTGGTATACCCTTTATTCATCCGTTTATTTCCAGCCTTTCTAATTTACTTTGTACGTTTCTTGAATATAGAACTGTGATATTTATTTTCCCTTAGACTTACAAAAACTTTCACATTTATTAACATAGCCGATACGTTTGATGTTAGATGTCATAATTTATGTTATACTTCCTGACTTTTATAAATTTTTATAGACTTCTATTACATGTATAGTTCTCAGTTTTATTTGTACATTCTTTAATATTTTGAAAGCATCATAGTCTTCTTAAATTGCTTATCTTTGTTAACTATAAAGGAATAAAAAGTCTCTATATATTTAGAAAGTGTATTTCTCTAATAGAAGCATATTTTCTCTTAATTTTCCTCTCTCCTACCATCAAATTTTAGTCAATTGGCCTATATTTCCAACATTCCATTTGTCAGCTTATGTGGATATCATTTGACTCTTTGAACTTACTCCAGTTTCCATCTTTCCTCAATCCTTTCCCAATTCATTATAATTGTAGCATTTCTATTGGGTATATAAAAAGTAAGTTCTGGACTGGCCCTTGAATTCAAACATTCGTTTCAGTAATAGTTTTACTGTTAAATTAATTCAGAGTTCTCCAGTATTCCTTAAAATGTATTCAGTCATCCTAACTGGCTGAACTTCATTCTCCGGCAATTTTCTCAACAATTACTCAGAAAAACAATTCCTTAAATGGTTAAAAATGTTTGGCAGCACCCTTTTTACTTAAAAGCCACTTTGTCTCCCATTTTCTTCATTTAGCATCTTATAGTCAGTGCTCTACGTTTCCTATATTTAAGGGTGTTATAGAGAAGTCTAAGGCCAGAGTCAGTATTTTTCTGTAATCCTTCTAAACTCTTATATTTTCATCTATATATATTATTGTTTCCAATTTTATCATCTATGCATCTTACTATGCTATCCACACAGTTAATATTCCTTTGAGCTTCTTCTGATTTCATTTTTATTTGTTTGAAAGTTTTTTTCCTTCGGTTTAATTTCCCAAAGTTTTGTTAGCTCATGTTCAACACTTCTATGTTATCTTACCATTCCTTCTAACTTCTTTAAATTCTGTTTTAGTAGTTGTCCTTCATCAGAAGCAATCCATTGATTTCTTATTTTTTTTTAACTTATGGTAAAATTTTTAATCACAATTATGTACTCCATAGCAATATTTTTCCAGGGAGTATTCTTATCTGCCGGTTAGTTTTGTTTACCTTTGCCACTTTTCAATATTTTTAAATGTGTGTGTTTGACAATTTTAAGAGGTTGCGATATGCTAGCATCCCTTATTAATATCTCCTAGTCAATTTATTTTAATTGACCAAAAATAAATGAGCAATCTTTATCTCAATAAAAGTAGATGTTTCTCACTCGCGGTATTCTATCAACTAGTACACTTACAGTTCCTCATATATGCATAACTTTTTTCTACAATCCTGACTATGTTGAACTATTCCCTATAT